CAGAGCCAACAAGATTTAAACGATGTAGTGCGAAAAATCACTACTGCATAAATGATAGCTTAGATACCTACTATCATGTGCAAAATTTTTTCGTCACCGCGCTTTGCATCACCTCCACATCGCCTTCATCGCCGAAAGAACGAGCGTATAGGACTGCCTGCTTAGGCACCAAGAAAGCTATTTCTCGGTTAAATCAGCCCTACGTTTAGGTCTCTTTACTAACGAAAAGCCAAAAAGGCGATGGAGAAATATCGATGCTCTCTGCAGCACAGCGAACTCAACCTCGATACCTCAAGCCGCTCCTGATGAGTTCAACAGTGGGCTCAATTCTACTGAACTAAAATATGCATTTTGCTTGGCATGTGTATAAGAATTAAAAGTTTTGTCAAGACAAAGGCTATTTCATAACTACGGTCGTTCAGTCGGTACGGCGTCAGATTCAGAGCCGACAAAAAAAGAATTCGAGACCAACTAGGATAACTCGTTTTCACCCCTCAGCGGTAGATACATGAGTGCCATTCTATGGAAAATGAAAAAAAAGCAACAGGCAGCACTTATCAGATACGCGTTAACATAGTCTTAAAAATAAGGCACTCATGCTTGATGGCTTATAAACAGAGAACAACGCCGCACAAGCTCCACGAAAGCATGGTACCTCAAATAATACCAATCAAGAAGTGAAGGAAAACCGACATTCCAAAGGTTACTAACTTTACTTTTCTTTCAGACAGTAAAGAACTACCTCACATAACTCGCCCCTGCTTTTTTCAGTACTGGACAGAACAATGAACTTACATCAGTGGAGCGGTCCCCAGCATAAAACCAAATGTCGTCGCACATGTCTGATTTGAACTTCAGAGCTGTGACTGCGTGGCGGGGAGTGAAGATCTCGGCACAAGCCTAAAAGCCACGGGAATTTTAAAGCCTAACGGAAGGTACCTACCTGAGGCCATGATCTCGCGTATGGAGCCAGCATGCGGAGGCGCGCATACACAGACTTTTCCAAGAAGTTGCTTACACTGTACGTGTTCGCAGTTGTTTCCAGCCTAAACATACACAGTTGATACGTTAGCAATTATCCATGTTATTATGAGAACAGATTTACCGGAGAAGATTTGATGACATGCAATAAATAACGTTCCTACTAACATCATCATTCAAAAAGGATGACCAAGTCATCTTCGACAAATTAGCGGTGCTAAAGGCACTTGTAAAAAGTATTTTATCAATGCGGGCATTATTTAAAGAATTTTCA